ATAGGGCCCCCATATACAGTATTGACTCCAGCCCAGGGGCCCCCATCCTCCTAAATCCGGCCCTGGGTCATTTTAAGAAACTCCCACCAAGCTGTCAGAGAGGAGCTAATATTGATGCTTTTAAAGCATTCCTGTCATTTTATCTTTGAGCTAATGAATGGAAGGTCCGAAAATCATTATATTATTGCCAAGTGTCTGTTCTACGTCTAGCCAGGGTTCATCAAAAGGTATGTGTTTTATCCATCTTGAGATGTATTCTAGCCTGTTGGCTAGAAAGTAATAATAGAAATTGGGTAGCTCTATCCATCCATCCATCCATTTTCTTCCACTTATCCGGGGTCGGGTCACGGGGGTAACAGCTTAAGTAGGGAGGCCCAGACTTCTATCTCCCTAGCCACTTGGTCCAGCTCCTCCGGGGTAATCCCAAAGCGTTCCCAGGCCAACCGAGAAGCATAGTCCCTCCAGCGTGTCCTGGGTCTTCTTCTGTGCCTCCTCCCGGTGGGACGTGTCCGGAACACCTCACCAGGGAGGCGTCCAGGAGGCATCCTAAACAGATGCCCGAGCCACCCCAACTGGCTCCTCTCGACATGGAGAAGCAGCGGCTCTACTCTGAGTCCCTCCCGGATGGTCGAGCTTCTCACCTTATCTCTAAGGGAGAGCCCAGACATCCTGCGGAGAAAATTCATTTCGGCCACTTGTATCCGAGATCTTGTTCTTTCGGTCACAACCCAAAGCTCATGACCATAGATGAGGGTAGGAACGTAGATCGATCGGTAAATTGAGAGCTTCGCCTTTTGACTCAGCTCTCTATTCACCACGGCAGACCTGTACAGCGCCCACTTCACAGCAGATGCTGCACCTATCCGCCTTTTGATCTCACGTTCCATTTTTCCCTCATTCGTGAACAAGACCCCAATATACTTGAACTCCTCCACTTGGGGCAGGACCTCCTCCCTGACCCGGAGAGGACACTCTACCCTTTTCCGGCTCAAGACCATGGCCTCGGATTTGGAGGAACTGATCTTCATCCCGGCCGCGTCGCTCTCGGCTGCGATCCGCTCCAGTGAAAGCTGTAGATCACAATCTGATGAAGCCAACAGGACCACATCATCTGCAAAAAAGCAGATAAGCAATCTTAAGGTCACCAAAACGGATCCCCTCAACACCTTGGCTGCACCTGGAAATTCTGTCCATAAAAGTTATGAACAGAATCGGTGAGAAAGGGCAACCTTGGCGGAGTCCAACTCTCACTGGGAACAAGCCCAACTTACTGCCGGAAATGCAGACCAGACTCTGACACTAGTCATACAGGGATCTAACAGCCCATATTAAAGGGCCCGGTACCCCATACTCCCAGAGTACCCCTCACAGGGTTCCCCAAGGAACGCGGTCGATCGCCTTCTCCACGTCTACAAAGCACATGTAGACCGGTTGGGTAAATTCCCATGCACCCTCCAGGACCCTGCTGAGAGTGTAGAGCTGGTCCAGTGTTCCACGGCCTGGACGATGAAGAGCATTCAATGAAGAGCATTCTCACATAGGTGTTTTCCTTCTCCAGATGACTGAGGGAGGTGGTTAAGGCTAGCTGTGCTTTGTTTTGTGTGTTTTATATGTAGATATATGTTGTAACTTCTAGTTTCATAAGTTTAGTCTTTGTTAAAACTGAACAGATTTTGTACAAAGTGTTTAATAGGTTGTGTTGGATATTTCTTATCTAGACTGGTCCTATGGTTTTGATCTGCTCAGAGATGGGATTATAATGAAATTATGACCCGGTTCTGACTGGGTTAAACTGGGCCAGGAACTCCAAAGAGAGTCTCCCTGGGATTTCAATATCAGGCAAGGAATAGTTTAATCTGCTTGCCACATCACGTAGAAGGCTTTTGAAGCACTGTCTCATATTTCCTAACACGTCATAACCACACGATCCACTGAGATCACACTTGGTCACGCCCCCTCATACACTGACAGATTGAGCTCCCCTTCTGCGAAGGCTGAGTCTAGGACCCTATAAATAAGTAATGACACGAGACATCGGAGCTCTTCTTCCGGGTCTGTGAGTGCGTCACAGACGGGAGAGTCCAGCACTGTAAATTGTAAACTTTTCCTGCCTTTTGTAATATAATTTATAAAACTTAATTGATGTTTCCTTGATTTATTGATAATGAGAGTTGCCACTTCTGAGGGAGGTTCGAGCCGAGGGGAAAGGCGTGGGCTGGAGGGGGTTTCCGGGTCCGGTGGCCCGCAGCCAGCTCCTGTCTTTAACAGTTGTGTAATGTAAAATTTACACTCTTACATATTTAATTTCACTGTGAGTTCTTGCCCTGTGTTGCTTTGTGGCATGAAAACATCTACTGCAGTGACTATTTTAAGTTATTAGTAGCTTAGAATTCTTTTTTGCCTTAATGTTGGTCGATAAGACAGAAGTGCCTCACTAAATGCTTCAGGTAACACCATGAGCTTCACTACCATCAGTGTATGAATGTGATCTAAAGCACTGATTAGTCTCATTAGAATGATTTGTTCAATTAGCTTTATAGAGATCTAGTAGAGTGCTGTATGAATGGGTAAATGAAGCACAGATTGTAGCATAAAGTGATTTTAGTATCTCGATAAGATATAAAGGCGCTATATAAGTACAGTCTATTTACCATCTAGCAACTGAAAATGGTAGTATTCAATATATTCAGTCAGAATGAATGAAAACGGTCATATCTCTGCCAAAAATTGGCTTATAAATATGGGGGGAAAAAAAAACATAAATAAGTTGCTTTGGTGTATAAGTCGAAGGGCATGTAAATTGTGCAAAAAACTGCAACTTATAGGCCAAAAAAATACTGTACTAGATTTGTCACCAAAAGGGGTCTGAATACTTGCTAAAAATGTCAACACCGAGTGAGACTGTTGCACAACTGCAACATACTGAGTCCTGAGCTGCTTTTTCTTGGACAATGGACATTGCTGACCATCCTCTACACCAGGGGTGTCAAACTCACTTACAACAAGGGGTCAAAATTAAAACCTTTTTCAAACTAAGGGCCAATTTCAGAAACTACATTAACTCAAATCAGATAACCAGCATCTTTTCTTGGTCACATGTTCCTCAACAAGAGTTTGACTGGTCTCATTTGATGTCCTCTGTTGTACTTTCGACATCGTAACCAAAGATTACAGAAAAAAATCAAGAGATAGAACTATTTTACATTTAAAATAACATCTTGGGGATCAGATAAGATGTCAATGAGGGCCACATTTGGCCCCCGGGCCTTGAGTTTGACACATATGCTCTACAGTGTAGGGGTCTCAAACTCAATTTACCCGGGGGCCGCTGGAGGCAGAGTCTGGGTGAAGCTGGGCCGCATAAAGGATTCCACACAAAACATTTAAAAAATATCCTCAAATGTCAACATTTAATTATTTCTCCAATACATGAACTGTCCTGAACACATGAATGGAACATTGAATGAAGATCATGAACAGTTCTTCAGAACATGGCTTCTCCAGCTTTACTCCTT